TGTCCAGTAGGTCTCTTGCATTCTGCTGGGTGGTGGGGACTTTGTCTGGAGAGTGGATGGGCTGGGGGTCTGGCACGGATGGGTTTGAGGAGCGTGGTGGCAACCTGGGGCAGGGGCATTCTCCAACCTGGGGTGCCCCATGGGGTAGGAGCTGCTGGTCTGCTGGGGTGCTGCCTGCCTCCCGTGGCAGTGTGGATGCTGGTGTGAAATACAGCCAAAACACTAGTCTGAAAGAATATTAATTTGTTGGGGGTTTTTTAATTGCATTTTTAGCTGTTGCATTAAAATTAATGTGAGCTGATCAGTGTTCTCCCTGCCGTGGTCGGTGACTGTACTGCCAGCCTGGTGCCTGGGAATGAAGTAAAGCCAGGGGAGCTGGAGCAGGTTGTGTCTCCAGCGGGTGTCCTGGCCACACATGTCCCCACAGGAGCCCAGCACCCTCCCACCAAGGGCCCGGAGCAGGGCAGCCCATGTGGGACCCTCTGGGCCAGCAAAGGGGACTCAGGAGGTGCCTCCCTCACCTCCATTTTGAGGGTGTCCTACCTGGCTCCTGCACTTTGTGGGGTGGGAGGAGGGTCCCAGACACTTGTGCCATCCTGTGGCCGTGGGGAGAGGGCTGGAAAGCAAAATGCTGCCTGTTGCTTTAAGTTCCTTCACCAGCTACGGGGATTTTTATTTTTTTTCCCAATTTTTTTTTTTTTTTTCTGTTTTCCTCTCGCGCTATGAATGGGTTTTGCTGTAAATTACAGCTTTGCACACATTCCCTCGGGCCGAGGAAAATAACCTCTGCCAGCTCGGATTGGTGACTGGCTCCCCTTCTCTGCTCCCTAATTGAAACCAAATGTGCAAGATGCAGGATTGTGGGATTTCTGGCCTGCTCCCAGGAATCTGCAGAATGTGAACGCGCTCCCAGAGGCATCTTGCATCAGCCCGGGAAAGTTTGCTCCTCGCCTGGCTGCCCGGGTGAGGGGCGAGGAGCCCGCCCGGCACCGCTGCGCTCCGGTGAGTCGCTCTCGGGTGCGTTGGGGGGACGTTGGGGCCCCCCCAGCTTCAGGATGCTGGGGGGATGTGGGGTCACCGTGCTCCGCTGCACAGCCTGGGCACAGCGGTGCTGGTCTGCCTGGGAAGGGGCTGGGGCAGTGTCCCTGTCCAGGGAGGTGACGTTTGCTCCCTTCTTTCTATTTCCCCCCCAGCTGCCAGCCTTTTCCCTCGTTCCCAGAGCCAGGCCAGCGTTTCCTGGTGTCCCACCTCAGCTCCCGCCCGTGTGTCTGTTGGCAGAGCCAGCAGTGGTGTTTGGCCAGCCAGAGAGGCCCTGCTATCCCCAGGGTCCCCCAGCTAGGACCTGGTTACGCTGGGGAAGGGACATGGAGACAACTGGCTGGTGCTCCCGAGCATCCTGCTCCCCGTCCTGGTGCTGGGGACTTGCTCGTGGCTTCCCGGTCCTGCACCGTGGCAGGATGACACTGTGCCCCGTGGCACGGAGTGGGGAGGTGGGAGGCAAGTATTCGGCTGGCTGGGAGAGCTTGGTGGGTGCAGCACCCCCTGGACCATGTCCCCAGGCCCCACGGCCACAGGCTGTGCTG